CAATCTCAGAGACTTCTGGGACAATATTAAATGCACCAACATTCGAATTATAGGGGTTCCAGAAGAAGAAGAGAAAAAGAAAGGGACAGAAAAAATATTTGAAGAGAGTTTAGTAGAAAACTTCCCTAATATGGGCAAAGAAATACTTAATCAAGTCCAAGAAGTACAGAGAGTCCCATACAGGATAAATCCAAGGAGAAATACGCCAAGACACATATTAATCAAACTATCAAAAGTTAAATACAAAGAACGTATATTAAAAGCAGTAAGGGAAAAACAACATATAATACATAAGGGAATCTCCATAACGTTAACAGCTGATCTTTCAGCAGAAACTCTGTAAGCCAGAAGGGAGTGGCAGGACATACTTAAAGTGATGAAGGAGAAAAAAAGACAACCAAGATTACTCTACCCAGCAAGGATCTCATGCAGATTTGACAGAGAAATTAAAACCTTTACAGACAAGCAAAAGCTAAGAGAATTAAGCACCACCAAACCAGCTTTACAACAAATGCTAAAGGAACTTCTCTAGGCAGGAAACACAAGGGAAGGAAATGACCTACAATAACAAACCCAAAACAATTAAGAAAATGGTAATAGGAACATACATATAGACAATTACGTTAAATGTAAATGGATTAAATGCTACAATCAAACGACATAGACTGGCTGAATGGATACAAAAACAAGACCTGTATATATGCTGTCTACAAGAGACCCACTTCAGAACTAGGGACACATACAGACTGAAAGTGACGGGATGGAAAAAGATATTCCATGCAAATGGAAATCAAAAGAAAGCTGGAGTAGCAGTTCTCATATCAGAAAAAATAGACTTTAAAACAAAGACTATTACAAGAGACAAAGAAGGACACTACATAATGATCAAGGGATCAATCCAAGAGAAATATATAACAACTGTAAATATTTATGCACCCAACATAGGAGCACCTCAATACATAAGGTAAATACTAAGAGCCATAAAAGGGGAAATCGACAGTAACACAATCATAGTACGTGACGTTAACACCCCACTTTCACCAATGGACAGATCATCCAAAATGAAAATAAATAAGGAAACACAAGCTTAAAATAATACATTAAACCAGATGGACTTAACTGATATTTGTAGGACATTCCATCCAAAAACAACAGAATACACATTCTTCTCAAGTGCTCATGGAACATTCTCCAGGATAGATCATATCTTGGGTCACAAATCAAGCCTTGGTAAATTTAAGAAAATTGAAATCATATCAAGTATCTTTAACAACCACACTGCTATGAGACTAGATATCAATTACAGGAAAAATTCTGTAAGAAATACAAACACTTGGAGGCTAAACAACACACTACTTAATAACCAAGAGATCACAGAAGAAATCAAAGAGGAAATGAAAAAATACCTAGAAACAAATGACAATGTAAACACAACAACCCAAATCCTATGGGATCTAGCAAAAGCAATTCTAAGAGGGAAGTTTACAGCTATACAAGCCTACCTTAAGAAACAAGAAACATCTCAAATAAAAAACCTAACCTTACACCTAAAGCAATTAGGGAAAGAAGAACAAAAAAACCCCCAAAGTTAGCAGAAGGAAAGAAATCGTAAATATCAGATCAGAAATAAATGAAAAAGAAATGAAGGAAATGATAGAAAAGATCAATAAAAGTAAAAGCTAGTTCTTTGAGAAGATAAACAAAATTGATAAACCATTAGCCAGACTCATCAAAAAAAGAAGGGAGAAGACTCAAATCAATAGAATTAGAAATGAAAAAGGACAAGTAACAACTGACACTGCAGAAATACAAAGGATCATGAGAGATTCCTGCAAGCAACCATATGCCAATAAAATGGACAATCTGGAAGAAATGGACAAATTCTCAGAAATGCACAACCTTCTGAGACAGAACCAGGAAGAAATAGAAAATATAAACAGACCAATCACAAGCACTGAAATTGAAACTGTGATTAAAAATCTTCCAACAAACAAAAGCCCAGGACCAGATGGCTTCACAGGCGAATTCTATCAAACATTTAGAGAAGAGCTAACACCTATCCTTCTCAAACTCTTCCAAAATATAGCAGAGGGAGGAACACTCCCAAACTCATTCTACGAGGCCACGATCACTCTGATACCAAAACCAGACAAAGATGTCACAAAGAAAGAAAACTACAGGCCAATATCACTGATGAACATAGATGCAAAAATCCTCAACAGGGGCTTCCCTGGTGGAGCAGTGGTTGAGAGTCCGCCTGCTGATTCAGGGGACACGAGTTCATGCCCCGGTCTGGGAGGATCCCGTGAGCTGCGGAGCGGCTGGGCCCGTGGCCATGGCCGCCGGGCTTGCGCATCCGGGGCCTGTGCTCCGTAACAGGGGAGGCCATGGCAGTGAGAGGCCCGCATCCCGCAAAAACAAAACAAAACAAAACAAAACAAACAAAAATCCTCAACAAAATACTAGCAAACAGAACCCAATAGCACATTAAAAGGATCATACACTATCAAGTCAGGTTTATCCCAGGAATGCAAGGATTCGTCAATATATGCAAACCAATCAATGTGATAAACCATATTAACAAACTGAAGGAGAAAAACGAATGATCATCTCAGTAGGTGCAGAAAAAGCTTTCCACAAAATTCAACACTGACTTATGATAAAAACCCTTCAGAAAGTAGGCATAGAAGAAACTTTCCTCAACATAATAAAGGCCATATATGACAGACCCACAGCCAACATAGTCCTCAGTGGTGAAAAACTGAAACCATTTCCACTAAGATCAGGACCAAGACAAGTTTGCCCACTCTCACCACTCTTATTCAACATCGTTTTGGAAGTTTTAGCCACAGCAATCAGAGCAGAAAAAGAAACAAAAGGAATCAAAATTTGAAAAGAAGTAAAGCTGTCACTGTTTGCAGATGACATGACACTATACATAGAGAATCCTAAAGATGCTACCAGAAAACTACTAGAGCTAATCAATGAATTTGGTAAAGTAGCAGGATACAAAATTAATGCACAGAAATCTCTTCCATTCCTATACATTAACGATGAAAAATTTGAAAGAGAAATTAAGAAAACACTCCCATTTACCATTGCAACAAAAAGAATAAAATATCTAAGAATAAATCTACCTAAGGAGACAAAAGACCTGTATGCAGAAAATTATAAGACACTGATGAAAGAAATTAAAGATGATACAAATAGACGGAGAAATATACTACGCTTTTGAAATGGAAGAATCAACATTGTGAAAATGACTCTACTACCCAAAGCAATCTACAGATTCAATGCAATCCCTATCAAACTACCACTGACATTTTTCACAGAACTAGAACAAAAAATTTCACAGTTTGTATGGAAACACAAAATTCCCCGAATAGCCAAAGCAATCCTGAGAAAGAAAAACGGACCTGGAGAAATCAGGCTCCCGGATTTCAGACTATACTACAAATCTACAGTACTCAAGACAATATGGTACTGGCACAAAAACAGAAATATACATCAATGGAACAGGATAGAAAGCCCAGAGGTAAACCCATGCACATATGGTCACCTTATCTTTGATAAAGGAGGCAAGAATATACAGTGGAGAAAGGACAGCCTCTTCAATAAGTGGTGCTAGGAAAACTGGACAGCTACATGTAAAAGAATGAAATTGGAACACTCCTTAACACCATACACAAAAATAAACTCAAAATGGATTAAAGACCTAAATGTAAGGCGAGACACCATCAAACTCTTAGAGTAAGACATATGCAGAACACTCACACTATGACATAAATCACAGCAAGATCCTGTTTGACCCACCTCCTAGAGAAATGGAAATAAAAACAAAAATAAACAACTGGGACCTAATGAAACTTAAAAGCTTTTGCACAGCAAAGGAAACCATAAACAAGACGAAAAGACAACCCTCAGAATGGGAAAAAATATTTGCAAATGAAGCAATTGACAAAGGATTAATCTCTAAAACATACAAGCAGCACATGCAGCTCAATATCAAAAAAACAAACAACCCAATCCAAAAGTGGGGAGAAGAATTAAATAGACATTTCTCCAAAGAAGATATACATATTGCCAACAAACACATGAAAGAATGCTCAACATCATTAATCATTAGAGAAATGCAAATCAAATCTACAATGAGATATCATCTCACACCGGTCAGAATGGCCATCATCAAAAAGTCTACAAACAATAAATGCTGAAGAGGGTGTGGAGAAAAGGGAACCCTCTTGCACTGTTGTTGGGAATGTAAATTGATACAACCACTATGGAGAACAGTATGGAGGTTCCTTAGAAAACTAAAAATAGAACTACCATACGACCCAGCAATCCCACTACTGGGCATATACCCTGAGAAAACCATAATTCAAAAAAGTCATGTACCAAAATGTTCATTGCAGCTCTATTTACAATAGCCAGGACATGGAAGCAACCTAAGTGTCCATCAAGAGATGAATGGATAAAGAAGATGTGGTACATATATACAATGGAATATTACTCAGCCATATAAAGGAATGAAATTGAGTTATTTGTAGTGAGGTGGATGGACCTTGAGACTGTCATAAAAGTGAAGTAAGTCAGAAAGAGAAAAACAAATACCATATGCTAACACGTATATATGGAATCTAAAAAAAAAAAAAAAGGTCATGAAGAACCTAGAGGTAAGACGGGAATAAAGATGCATACCTATTAGAGAATGAACTTGAGCATATGGGGAGGGGGAAGGGTAAGCTTGGCAAAGTGAGGGAGTGGCATGGACATATATACACTACCAAACGTAAAATAGATAGCTAGTGGGAAGCAGCCGCATAGCACAGGGAGATCAGCTCGGTGCTTTGTGACCAGCTAGAAGGGTGGGATAGGGAGGGTGGGAGGGAGATGCAAGAGGGAGGAGATATGGGGTTATATGTATATGTAGCGGATTCACTTTGTTATGAAGCAGAAACTAACACACCATTGTAAAGCAATTATACTCCAATAAAGATGTTAAAAAAAATAAAATTAAAAGATGGAAAAAGATATATCATGCTAATACTAATAAAAAAGAAAGAAAAAAAAGCCTGGAGTGGCTATATTAATCAGAAAAAGTTGATTTGAGATCATGCAATATTTCCAGAAATAAAGAAGTTCATTTTAATACAAAGATCAATTTGTGAAGAGGACATAATAATCCTAAATGTTTATGTGCTTTATAACAGAGCATCACAATATATGAAGGAAATGCATCATGGAATACATGATAGAAATAAGAAGACATGAGGCAGCCAGCAGGTATAGTCAACAGTTTCAACATCCTTTCCTTAATAATTGGTAGACAAAAAAATCAGTTAACACTAACATAGTAAGGTAGATAGCTAGTGGGAAGCAGCCGCATGGCACAGGGATATTGGTTCGGTGCTTTGTGACAGCCTGGAGGGGTGGGATAGGGAGGGTGGGAGGGAGGGAGACGCAAGAGGGAAGACATATGGGAACATATGTATATGTATAACTGATTCACTTTGTTATAAAGCAGAAACCAACACACAATTGTAAAGCAATTATACCCCAATAAAGATGTTAAAAAAAAAATGGGAGAAAAAAAAAATCAGTTAAGGCATAGAAGACTTGAACAATACTGTTAATCAACTTGACCTAATTAAGATTTACAGAAAACTTTACATAAAAATAGCAGAATGCAGACACATTTCATGTGTACACAAAATATTTACCAAAGAAGACTATATTCTGACTCATTAAAAAGCAGTAAATTTAAAAGGACATAAATCATCATTATTATCTGATCACAGTTACTAAGTTGGAAATCAACAACAGAAAGATATCAAGAAAATATCTGACTATTTGGCAACAAAATAACATGGGTCAAAGAAGAAAGCCAAAGGAAAGCTGAATGAAATGAATTTGTGGGATTAAATTAGTGTATAGTTGAAAATTTATAGTACTAAACACCTACATTGGAAAATAAAGGTCTAAAATCAATTACCTATGCTACCACCTAGACATACTAAAAAAAAAAAAAGCAGAAATAGGGAAATAAAGATAATTATAGTAATTATATATAATTATATATTGTAATGTATAATAAATTTAATTATATATTTAATAGTTATAAATGATTATCCTAATTATATATTTAAATAATTATATATTTAAATAAATATACATTATATATAATAAAATATAAAACCTAATGTTCTCTGTTGTTTATAGAGGAAAATCAATAAAAAACCTACAGTTGATTCTTTGAAAAGATCAAGAAAATTGATAAACCAGTAGCAAGATGTTAAAAAATAAAAAAGAAGCAAATTGCCAATATCAGTAATGAGGAGGGGTCATTACTACAGAGCCTACAATTACAACTGTTAAAGTAATTGAATCTATAATTAAAAACTTCCCAAAATGGAAACCCCTGGCCTACATAGTTTCATCAGTGAATTCTGTCAAATATCTAAGGAAGAAATTATACAATTCTATACAAACTCTTCCATAAGTTTGAGATAAGAGAATACTTTTCAAGCCATTCACCAAGGAGAGAATTAACTGGATACCAAAATGAATCAAAGAAAACACAGGTAAATAAGACTTCTGATCATTAGCCCTCATGAAGATAGAGAAATTCCAAACTAAAATTTAGCAAATTGGATCCAGCATTATACCGAAAGGATAATATTCATGACCAAGTGAGATTTGTCGTGGAATATAAGACTAGCCCAATGTTTAAAACTTGATTAATATAATTCACCGTATCAACAGCCTAAAGGCAAAAAAATTTCAGCCTAATGGAAGAGGAGAAAACATCTGACAAAATTCAACACCCAGTGAAAATTAAAAAATCAGTCAGCAAACTAAGATAATAGAAGCTTCCACAATTTTATACAGAGAATTTGCAAAAAATCTACATCTAATATCGTACTTAATTGTGAAAGACAATTATTTTCCAATAAGATCAGGAAAAAGCAAATACATCATCTTTCACTACTCCTGTTCAATATTGTACTGGGAGTCCTAGGCAGGAAAAAGGCAGACAAATTGGTGAGAAATAGAATTATCTCTATTTGTAGAGGAACAGTTGCCTAGGTAGAATTTGTTTTTAAAAATTACAAAATTGCTTCTAGACTTAGTTAAAAATTTTTCACGGTAAAATGTCAAGTAAAAATTCAATAGTATTTCTGTGTACTAGCAATGGATAATTGGAAATTTAAATTAAAAGAGCATCAAAATATATGACATACTTTGGAATAAATCTAACAAATTCTGTGCAAAATCTGTACACAGAAAACTACAAAACACTGATGAAGGCAATCAAAGTTATAAATAAATGGAGAGACATACTTGGTTCATGAATCAGAAAATCCAGTATCATTAGCATGCCAATTCTTCCCATGATTATCTATAGATTCAATGTAAATTCAATCAAAATTCCAGCAGAACTTTTTGGTGGAAGTTGATGAGTTAATTCAAATATTTAGATAAAAAGGCAAAGGAATAAGAAGCACCAAAACAATTGTGTAAAAGTGAAAAGTTGGAGAATTCACACTACCTCCAACTTCAATCATTTAAGATAGATTACAAAGTTGTATTAAGCAAGATAGCCTGATATGATGAAGGTAAAGATTTATAGGTCAACAAAATAGAGTAGTGTCCAGAAATAGATCCACATATACGTGATAAATTGATTTTGAACAAAGTTTCAAAGGAAATTCAATGAGGATAGTTTTTTCAACAAATTATGTTGTATCAATTGGAAATTCACATATTTTTTAAATGAGCCTTCTTCTACCATATACATATCTCAACTTAATATAGAGAAAATCTTCAAGACCTTATATTAGACAAAGCTTTCTTATATACAGGAGTAAAAGCATTTGCCATAAAGAAAAACAGTTAAGTTGGACTTCATCAAGATTTAAAACTTCTGTTCTTCAAAAGATACTTTGTAGAGAATGAAAAGATAAGCCACAGATTAGAAGAAAATATTTGTAATTCATATATCTCATAAAGAACTTATATCTAGAATATATAAATACTCTAAACACAATAGTAATAAAGGAAACAATCTGATTTTAAGATGGGAAATGATTTGTACAGTTTACAAAAGAAGTTATATCAATGGTAAATAAGCACATGAAAAAAATTCTAAATATTAATAGTTATTAGAGAAATGCAAACCAAAATCACAATGAAACACCACAACATAACTATTAGAGTGGAAATATTAACAAATGAACAAAAACTGTCAATATCAAATGCTGGCAAATATGTTTAGAGCAACTGAAACTTTTCAAACATTGCTGGTAGAAATACAAAATGTTACAGCCACTATGGGAACAGTTTTGCAGTTTCTGGTAAAATTAACATACACTAATTATATACTTCAACAATCCTATTGCTCAGTATTTACTCTAGAGAAATGAAAATTTACATCTATATAAACATCTGCACATCAATGTTCATAACAGCATTATCCATGGTAGCCAAAACCTGGAAACAACCAAAATGTTCTTCATGTGGAGAATGGGAAAACAAATTATGACTTCATACAATGGAATACTACTCAGCAAAAAGGAAAAGAAAGTACTCATATGGATAACAATACAGATGAATTATGCATATATGCGTGTATGCAAATATGCGTATATGCAAATATGCATAGCAGATGCATCATGGTAAGTGAAAGAAGGCAGACTCAAAAGGCTTCATGCTGTAGGATTCTGTTCATATGATGCTCTGGAAAAGGCAAAACTATGGGGACAAAAATCAAATCAGTTGCCAGAGACTGGGATTAGGAGAGAGGGTGACAATGCAAGATCATGGGGGAATTTTTGAGGGGTGGTAACTGGTCTGTATCTTGATTTTGCTTGAATATTTGTGAAAATTCACAGAACTGTACTCTTAAAAAGGGAAAATATTATACCTTGATAAAACAAGAGAAAAAGAAAAAAAGCCAGCTGAGTTTGTTACAGTCATTTGTATGAAAATAAAGTTCTGATAAATATAATTAAAAAATTAAAAATTTGCTTTCTCACTAAAAGATATTTGTAACCCCCAAATCTATACCAATGATACTTTCGTGGTCACAGGTGGACATGTGTAAGTGGCAAAAAACCTGAGTCGCCCAATAAGCACGTTCCCAGCTGAGGTCAAAGAAGGTGATACTCTGTCTTCTTGTTTCAGGTGTCATAGTGTAAACAAGGGTCTTTTTCCTGGTCTATTTAGTGACGCGTTTTTCACATTTTTTGTGTTTTGTTGGTGATTTTTCTTTTTAAAATGACTCCTAAGTATAGTGCTGAAGTGCTGTCTCATGTTTCTGAACTTAGGAAGGCTGTGACGTACCTTTTGGTACAAGCTTCTCATATGCAATTTAAAGAGCATCTCTACCTGTAAGTCAATTCTTGAATAAGCATGTAATACACATACTCTAATAAAATTAATGACTATAATCTTTCCATCTTTAAACTTAAATAGCATCTATTTAATGCATCCTTCATTTTACCTCACTTTGAGGTCACTGTGTATAGTGGTAGAAATAATACAAATTTAATAAGTGATTTTATTGATACTTAATTGAATGCATTTTGCAGAATAGTGTTTAGTAATAATAGAAATTTTTAAAGTAGCTTTTTAAATTTTTAATTTTACAATCATTTTATGAAGCGGGCAAATTATTATCCAGTTTTAACACCTTCAAGGTGAAAGAGCCAGTACCTGAGAGAACAGGACTAAACCCAGTGGGTCTGACTGCAAAGCCCTTGCCTGCAACCGATACAAGACTGCAATGTTTGCACAGATTTTCTTTTTCTTGTTTTGTAAATGAATATTTATTCTTTAAAAAGTAGTCCGGAATTTCAAAGTTTAAACTTCTTATTCCTTACAGTTCACATCATCTTGCAATCACAGCCAACAAATTTAGTTGGGGACAAAGTATATATTAGAAAGCTGTTCCTATAGTATAATTATGTTGAAAATTAGACAATTCATTCTGTTTACCATTCTATTCATGCAGGAGCATTCCCATGTGTTGTTTTTATAATAATTAAATGTCTTTTTCTTTCTAAATAAATCTTTCCATAATGCATTTTTTTCATGGGGATGGAGGTAGTGAGAGAATGATGTATAACCATCTAAATATATAATGTTTTCCAGTTTACACAAGGAACAAAGAGCAAACTTGTTAGTCCAAGTTCCTGTTCATTGTATATGTAAATCTTTTTGGCTTTGATCAAAAAATGGACCTGGCAGTTCAGAAAATACCTGAGTTGTCCTGGCTGCTGTCCTGAAACTTACCCTGTAATGTGCCAGCCTGTGTTAAATTATACAAAAATATACACACAAAAAGGAAAACAGTTTATCATTTTTTTGTTTTATTTGGGCTTTATATGGTTAGTTTTGAGAGATAAATACAGAACATTCAATATAGAAAATTAAAGTGATTTTGAGAAGCCTGGGTAACATTAAGGAAACTGAAAATTGTTATTCTGAACTTACGCTTCCCTGGTCAGTGTGAATCCAAATCTGTAAACTTAGTGGTTGAGTGGGAGGAGATGACCCTAACTCTGATTCTTCCTGCACGTGTCCAATTATGAATTCTTGCATTCTCTCATCTCACTTTAAGCTTGGAATTGTTCATAATTGTCAAATGGGGAAACATGATTTAAAAATAAACCAATAAATACCAGTTATCAGAAGAAGTAATAACAATTAACTCACAGCACTTAGGCACAGTGGCATTAATGCCCCAAAGGGAGCCCTTGGTCACTATCTGCCTTCATTACCTACTTCTTCTGGCTAAAATATTTCCATCTTCGAATCATTTCAACCTATGTGTTGGCCACTGAAGTATTTTGCCAAATAAAGCCATTGACTTCACAAAAGCAGCACCAATAGTAATACATCAATAGCCAATAAGATTTTTTTTTTCTTTTTGCATTTGCAGAAAACATACAACAGCTGTGTTTATAATGGCAGAAAAATTGGGTCTTAGGTGGCAGGGCTGGGAATTGCAGATGTATAATATCATTCAGACATAGGGTGTTTACAGTCCATTTCCAAGGGAACATACTATTTATTATTTCCTTTGATGTCATTACTTTCCCAGATGTATTTCTATATCCCATCTTGTCCTCCTAAATCAATTTATCTTGAAATCCAATTAATGACTCTTCAAATCCACTTTGAAAATAAAATTGTGTTCAGATAGTAGTTATTTTTCTTAGGAAAATACAAATTATAGTAATGTCTAATTACTATACAAAGTATAGTAAAATATAAAAATGGAACTCTATAATACAAGAGCAAATAACTTGTTTTGGACCCAAAATGCATTTCACTAATACTGTGATATTTTGAAGTGAGCATTCTATTAAAAACAAAACAAAACAAACAAAAAAAGAGAGTCAAATAGAAGCAATGGTGGGGGATTAGATTTTTACATATTTCATAGAACTTCTTTCCTTTTTCTTCATGTAGACAGTTGCTACATTAAAAGCTTGCCCTTCCATTGGGAGAAGGTATGAGGGGGCATTACCCCCAGGGAAGAAAGAACTCTAGTTTCTCATGCTTCTCCTTTGGCCTTGCATAATGAAACTATACACAGGGTGATTTTTGGCCTTTGGCAGGTTAGCAACTTTTGGAGTGAGACCAGTGAGTAGATTTGATTTTTAAACTTACCACAATTTTTCATTGACATTTATAGGCAGAGAGACAGATGCTAACTTGTAAAAACTTGAAAGCATAAGTCCATTCTCAGAGCCATGAACCAAATCTGAACTTTCCATGGCTGTTCTATCTATTCAGCCATAACTTTTCAGTATTTAATATAATTCAGTCTGGTAATTTACTAGAAACTCTTCCAGTTTAGATTAGTTGAAATACTGCAATACCATCTTTTCACCAGTTTTATGGAGATATAATTCAAATACCATACAATTCACCTATTAAAAGTATACAATTCAATGTTTTTTAGTATATTCACAGAGTTGTGCAACTGTCACTGCAATCTAATTTTAGAATATTTTTATTACCCCCCAAAAGAAACCAGATACTCATTAGCAGTCACCCATATTCTATCCCCCATCCCTGGGTAACCACTTATTAGTTTCTATAGATTTGCCTACTCTGGACATTTTATATAATGAAACCATACTATTTGTGGTCTTCAGTGACAGACTTCTTGTACTTAGCATAATGTTTTCCAGGTTCATCTATGCTGCAATATGAATCAGTATTTCATTCCATTTTGTAGCTGAGTAATATTCTATTGTGTATATGTATATAGCTATAGATATATAATATTTTATGTATCCATTTATAAATTAATGAACATTTGGGTTGTTTCCACTTTTTGGCAATTATGAATACTAGTACTATATGTACTCATGTACAAGATTTTGTATGAATGTAGGTTTTCCTTTCTCTTGGGTATATCCCTAGGAGTGAAATAGCTATAGTAAATCTATGTTTAACATTCTGAGGAATGTGAAACTATTTTCCAAGGCAGCTGCACAATTTTAAATTTCCACCAGCAATATATAGGAGTTCTCCTTTCTCCACCTCACCAACACATGATATTGTCTACCTATTTGATTATAAATATCCACGTAGGTGTAAAGTGGCATTTCTTTGTGCTTTTGGCTTGTATTTCCCTGTTGACTAATGATGTTGAACATCTTTTCAAATGCTTACTGTCCATATGTATATCTTCTTTAGAGAAATGTCTGCTTAGATCTTTTGTGCATTTTAAAATTCTGTTGTCTTTTTATTGTTGAGTTGTAAGAGTTATAAATATATTCTAGATACAAGTCCCTTATCAGATAAATGATTCACAATTGTTCCCATCCTGTGGGTTTTCTTTATACTATTTTCACTATTATGGTATTCTTTTGTTGCACAATGGTTTTTAGTTTGCTAAAATCCAATTTATCTACTTTTTCTTTGGTAGGTTGGGCTCTTAGTGCTGTATTTAAGAAGCCATTATTTAACTCAGGGTCACTAAGATTTACTCCTATGCTTACTTCTAAGAGTTTTATAGTTTTAGCTATTGCATGTAGGCCTATGATCCAGTTTGAATTAATTTTGTGTATGGTGTTTGGAAAAGGTTCATTTTCATTCTTTGCATGTGGATATCCAGTAGTTCCAGCACCATTTGTTGAAAAGATTATTTTTCCCCATTGAATCATTTGACATCCTTGTTGAAAATCAATTGACCATAAGATAACGGTTTATTACTGGACTCTAAATTCTGTTTCATTTATCCGTATGTCCATACTTATACCAATACCATTCTGCCTTGATTTTTCCAGCTTTGTAAAAAGTCTTGAAATCATGAAGTTTGGTCCTTACATTTTTGTTCTTCTTTTTCCAGATCATTTTGGCTAACCTAGGTCCTTTGCAACTTCATATGAATTTTAGAACTAGTTTGTAAATTTATGAAGAAAGGAAGCTGAGATTTTGACAAAAATGGTGTTGAGTCTGTAGACCAATGTGGTGAGTATTGACATCTTGACAACTTAAGTCCTCTGATCTATGAACACAGGATGTTTTTCCATTCTTTTAGGTCTTCTATAATTTCTTTCAACAATGTTCTATAGTTTTCTGAGTATGAATTTTGCACTTTTTTTGTTAAATTTATTCCTAAGTATTTTATTCTTTTTGATGCTATTGTACATGGAATTTTCTGAATAATCATTTTCAGATTGCTTATTGCTAATGTGTAGAAATACAATTTTTATGTTGATTTTGTATCCTGAAATGTTGCTGAACCTATTTACTAGTTCTAATTGTTCTTTTAGTGAATTCCTTATTTTCTATATTCAAGATCACATCATCTGTAAATGGAGATATAGTTTACTTCTTTCTTTCCAACCTGGGTCTTTTACTTCCATCACTAGTCTAATTGCCCTGGCTAGAACTTCCAGTAAAATATTGAATGGAGGTGGTGTAAGTGGACATCTTTCTTCTATTCCTGATCTTATGGGGAAAGAATTCAGTCTTTCACTATTAAATATATTAGCTGTCAGTTTTTCACAGATGCCCTTTTTCACTTGGGAAAACTCCTTCTATTCCTGACTGTTGAGGATTTTTAACATGAATGTGTGTTTAATTTTGTCAATTTTTCTGTCTATTGACATGATTATGTGTATTTGTCCTTTATTCTATTAACATGATATAATTAATTTTCACATTTTAAATCAACCTGGGATAAATCCCACTTGACCATGGTGTATAATTTTCTTTATTATTTTATGTTGCTAGATTCAGTTTGCACATATTGTGTTGAGAATTTTTGTGTCAATTTTTATAAGAGCTACTGGTATGTAGTTTTATTTTCATCAGTTGTCTTTTTGTCTGGTTTTGGTGTCAGATTAATGTTGACCTCACAGAATGAGTTTGGAAGTGTTCCCCTTTCTCCTATTTTTTCAAAGGAGCCTGTGAAGTATTGGTAATATATCTTTTAAATATTTGGTAGAAATTACCAGTGAAGCTATCTGGAACTGGGACTTTCTTTGCAGAAGTTTTTAAATTTCTAATTCAGTTTCTTTACTGATTATAGTTTTGTTTACATGTTACATTTCTTATTGAGTTTGTTTCGATTGTTAACATCTTTCTAGCATTTGGCCATTTCAGCAAAATTATTTCATTTATTGACATACAGTTGTTCATAGTTTTTCCTTGTAAACATACTTATTTCAGTGAAGGCAGTAGTGATAACCACTCTTTCATTCCTGATTTTAGTAGTTTGAGACCTCTCTTTCTGGCATGGTCATACTAGCTAATCAGTTGTCAATTTGTTGATCTTTTCAAGTAAATATCTTTTGATTTTGTTCATTTTCTCTATTGTTTTAATCTACAGTTTTTGGCATGTTGTGATCTCATTTTCATTTATCTCAAAGCATTGATATTTCCTCATTTCCTTTGTGATTTCTCCTTTGATTCATTGTTTATTTAGGAGTTCATTCTTTAACTTCCACATATTTGTGAGTTTCCCAAATTGCCTTCTGTTACTGATTTCTAGTTTAGTTCCATTGTGTTGGGAGAACATACTTTGTATGATGCCAATACTGTAAAGTTTGTTAAATAAATAAAATAAAATTCAAAAAATAAAATAAAATTTGGGAAGAAGAACTAGGTCTTGAAAAAATAACGGGGGGGGGTGTCGCCTTCAAGATGGCAGAGGAATAAGACATGGAGATCACCTTTCTCCCCACAAATACATCAGAAATACATCTACATGTGGAACAACTACAGAACACCTACTGAACGCTGGCAGAAGACCTCAGACTTTCAAAAAGGCAAGAAACTCCCCCACGTACCTGGGTAGGGCAAAAGAAAAAACAGACACAAAAGAATAGGGATGGGACCTGCACCTCTGGGAGGGAGCTGTGAAGGAGGAAAATATTTCACACACTAGGAAGCCCATTCACGGGTGGAGATGGGGGTGGGCGGGGTGGGGAGCTTTGGAGCCATGGGATAGAGCACAGCAACAGGGGTGCAGAGGGCAAAGTGGAGAGATTCCCGCACAGAGGATCGGTGCCAGCCAGCACTCACCAGTCTGAGAGGCTTGTCTGCTCACCTGCCGGAATGGGTGGCGGTTGGGAGCTGAAGCTCCAACTTCAGAGGTCAGATCCCAGGGAGAGGACTGGGACTGGCTGCATGGAGACAGCCTGAAGGGGGCTAGTGCACCACAGCTAGCTGGGAGGGAGTCTGGGGGAAAGTCTGGATCTGCCTAAGAGGCAAGAGACCATTGTTTCCGGTGCACAACAAGAGGGGGTTCAGAACACTACCTACATGAGCTCCAGAGGTGGGCTCAAGCTGCAGCTGTCAGCACAGACCCCAGAGACAGCTAAGTCTGCTGCTGCAGCCACCAAGAAGCCTATGTGGAAGCACAGGTCACTATCCACACCTCCCCTCCTGGGAGCCTGTGCAGCCTGCCACTGCCAGGGTCCCTTGATCCAGAGACAACTTCCCCAGGAGAACACACGGCATGCCTCAGGCTGTTGCAATGTCATGTTGGCCTCTGCTGCCGCAGGCTTAACCCAAATTCTGTACCCCTCTCTCCCCCAGCCTGAGTGAGCCAGAGCCCCCTAATTAGCCACTCCTTTAACCCCATCCTGTCTGGGCGGGAAACAGATGCCCTCAGGCAACCTACATGCAGAGGCGGGGCCAAACCCAAAGCTGGACCCCAGGAGCTCTGCGAACAAAGAAGAGAAAGGGAAATTTCTCCCAGCAGCCTCAAGAGCAGCAGATTAAATCTCCACAATCAACTTGATGTACCCTACATCTGTGGAATACCTGAATAGACAACGAATCATCCCAAAATTGTGGTGGTGGACTTTGGGAGCAACTGTAGACCTAGGGTTTGCTTTCTGCATCTAATTTGTTTCTGGTTTTATGTTTATCTTAATTTAGTATTCAGAACTTATTATCATTGGTAGAGTTGTTTATTGATTTGGTTGCTCTCCTCCTTTTATATATATATATTTTTCTCTTTTTCTTTTTTGTGAGTGTGTATGTGTATGCTTCTTGTGTGATATTGTCTGTATAGCTTTGCTTTTGCCATTTCTCCTAGGGTTCTGACTGTCTGTTTTTTTCTATTTTTTAGTTTAGTTTTTAGCACTTGTTATCATTGGTGGATTTGTTTCTTTGCTGTGGTTGCACTCTTCTTTCTTTCTCTCTTCCTTTTCTAAAGTTTTTATTTTTAATAATTCTTTTTCTATTTTAATAACTATTTTATTTCTTTATGTTTCTTTCATTCTTTCTTTCTTTTTATCCCTTTTCTTCTGAGTCATGTGGTTAACAGGGTCTCAGTGCTCTGACCAAGAGTCAGGCCTGAGCCTCGGAGAAGGAAGAGCCAAGTTCAGGATGTTGGACCACGAGAGGCCTCCAGGCCCAATGTACTATCAAACGGTGAAAGCTCTCCCAGAGATGTCCATCTCAATGCTAAGAACCAGCTCCACTCAACAACCAGCAAGCTACCATGCTGGACACCATATGCCAAAAAACTAGCAAGACAGGAACACAATTCCACCCATTAGCAGAGAGCCTGCCTAAAATCATAATAAGTTCACAGACACCTCCCGAAAACACACCACTGGACATGGTCCTGCCCAACAGAAGACAAGATCCAGCCTCATCAACCAGAACACAGGCACTTGTCCCCTGCACCAGGAAGCCTACACAACCCACTGAACCAAACTTACCTACTGGGCCCAGACACTAAGAAAAATGGGAAATATGAAGCTGCAGTCTGCAAAAAGGAGACCCCAAACACAGTAACTTAAGCAAAATGAGAAGACAGAGAAACACACAGCAGATGAAGGAGCAAGGCAAAAACCCAACAGACCAAACAAATGAAGAGGAAATAGGCAGTCTACCTGAAAAATAATTCAGAATAATGATAGTGAAGATGATCCAAAATCTTGGAAACAGAATGGAGAAAATACAAGAAACATTTAACAACGACGTAGAAGGACTAAAGAGCAAACAAACAATGATGAACAACACAATAAATGAAATTAAAAATTCTCTAGAAGGAATCAATAGCAGAATAACTGAGGCCGAAGAATGGATAAGTGACCTGGAAGATAAAATAGTGGAAATAATTGTCACAGAGCAGAATAAAGGAAAAAGAATGAAAAGAACTAAGGACAATCTCGACCTCTGGGACAATATTAAATGCACCAACATTCGAATTATAGGGATCCCAGAAGAAGAAGAGAAAAAGAAAGGGACTGAGAAAATACTTGAAGAGATGATAATTGAAAAATTCCCTAATATGGGAAAGGAAATAGTCAATCAAGCCCAGGAAGCACAGAGAGTCCCACACAGGATAAATCCAAGTAGAAACACATGAAGACACATATTAATCAAACTATCAAAAATTAAATACAAAGAAAAAAATATCAAAAGCAACAAGGGAAAAGCAACAACTGACATACAAGGGAATCCCCATAAGGTTAACAGTTGATCTTTCAGCAGAAACTCTGTAAGCCAGAAGGGAGTGGCAGGACATATTGAAAGTGATGAAAGGGAAAAATCTACAACCAATATTACTCTACCCAGCAAGGATCTCATTCAGGTTCAATGGAAAAATTAAAATCATTACAGACAAGCAAAAGCTAAGAGAATTCAGTACCACCAAACCAGCTCTACAACAAAAGCTAAAGGAACTTCTCTAGGCAGGAAACACAAGAGAAGGAGAAGACTTACAATAACAAACCCAAAACAATTAAGAAACTGGTAATAAGAACATAAATATCAATAACTACCTTCAATGTGAATGGATTAAATGTTCCAACCAGACTGGCTGAATGGATACAAAGAGAAGATCCTTATATATGCTGTCTACAAGAGACCCACTTCAGACCTAGGGATACATACAGACTGAAAGTGAGGGGATGGAAAAAGATATTCCATGCAAATGGAAATCAAAAGAAAGTTGGAGTAGCAATTCTCATATCAGACAAAATATACTTTAAAATAAAAAC